CCTGTCTCCCTGTCTCCCTGTCTCTCTGTCACTCTCTCTCTCTCCCTCTCTCTCTCGCTCTCGCTGTCTCCCTGTCTCTTTGTCTCTTTTCCTGCTTCTTTCTCCCTCCCTCCCTCCCCCTTTCTTTCTTTCTTTCTTTCTTTCTTTCTTTCTTTCTTTCTTTCTTTCTTTTCCTTCTCCCCCTCTCTAGCTCTCTCTCTCTCTCTCAGTCTCTCTCTCAGTCTCTCTCTCAGTCTCTCTCTCAGTCTCTCTCTCAGTCTCTCTCTCAGTCTCTCTCTCTCTCTCTCTCTCTCTCTCTCTCTCTCTCTCTCTCTCTCTCTTTAGCTTCGTTCCCTCTCTCTGTCTCTCTCCCCCTCTTTGCCTCTGTCTCTTTTGTTTTTTGTTTCTGTTTCTTCTTTGGGTTTTCTTTTGTCTCTCTCTCTCTCTCTCTTTCTTTCTTTCTTTCTTTCTTTCTTTCTTTCTTTCTTTCTTTCTTTCTTTCTTTCTTTCTTGCTCTTTCGCCTTCTTTCTCTGTCGCTCCTTTTTTGGGTGCTCCTTTGTGGGGGCCGCGCCCACTGTTTTTCCTGTCCTTGCTGGGAGAAGCTTCCGTGGCGGCAGACGTGGCATGCCCCTTTGCTGTCGGCAGGAAGTGAGCTTGCAAGCAGAAGCTTTTCAGCAGTTTGGATGTACTTCCCAACATAGCACCTGTGAAAGGGCGCCTAACAGACCACTGGCAGGCTTGGCCGCCGGCAGATGATGCCATTCAACATTCATGTTCTGAGGCTTGCGCGTGCTACTGGCACCCTGCAAATGAGCTGCTTCTCTGCCCTCTACCACGGTCAGTGATTGAACCAGTACCAAGGCTCATTTGGTGAGTCTTCCTTATGTGTAAAGTGGACAGACAAGGACGCCCCTTGGTGGCCACACAAACATAAATCATGTCCACCAAAGGATCCTTAGCTAAGAATCAATCCATTTCAGGGACCGCCAGGGAATTCCTGACGTCGACGTAGGCTGGCCGCAGCGGAGCAGCGATTCGTCGATGGAAACCGAGCAGGCACGGGGAATGTCTTTCGGTTTTCGCAGGAAGGCGTTGGGTGGGGAGGGGGGGGTGGATTGTACCCTTTTCCGGGGTTGGGAAGAGTTGTGTGTCTTGCTGGGTCTGCTTTGACGCTGGCCTGTTTCCGGTTTGTTTCCAGGGGAACAGGTAAGAGGTTTCCCCTGTCTCAACATAGGCCCATCTTGGGTTGAATTTGGTACCGCCTTCGGAGGCCCTTGTACCTTTGACTTTGTCATATTTTATCCGAAACTCTTGTGCCACGGATCACTGAACGGATGTCCCCAGGTAGGGGTCCTTGGTTTTGACACATCCACCCGCCCTTAGCACAACAGCAGCAGCAGTGGCCACCGCCGCCACCGCCGCCGCTGCCGCACCACCACCGCCACCGCCGCCGCCACCACCACCACCACCACCTGCTGCAAGAACAGCAGCAACAACAGCAGCAGCAACGGCAGCAGCAACAGCAGCATCACCACCCTTTTGCTTCTTCCCCCACCAGAAGCAGCAGCCGGCGCAGCCGCAACGGTGCAGTGGTGGCGGCTGTGGCAAGGGCAGCGGCTGCGGCAGTGGCGGTGGCAGCAGCCGGCGCAATAAAACAAGCAGCAAGAAACTTTAAGACTTCTGACTTATAACCTCAAGCATGAATGAATAAGTCTTGCTCGTTTAGCAGGAAGCTAAACGTGTTCCTGCTCGAGCAATCCTTCCTGTGGCGGTTGCTCGATCCAGGCAGCAGCAGCCCGATGAAGCGGCCATTGAGGAAGCACTGCGTCTTTACCTCCGCCCGGACCCCGGATCTCATGCTCAGGGCTCCAGGAAAGAGGTGGGTGGTGTCAATGGAAACCAGCACCTTGTACCCAGACAGGCCTGCTGTTTTGCCTGGGTGGGCAATCCATGCTTCAGTCACGGCCAAAACTTTCCATTTGGTAGCTCTTTACCTGCAACTCGGAGTGCGACTCGTTGTCATTTGGCTTTGGCTGGGCCTGCTTTGCTGCTTCAAGGGCCAGCAAGACACAAGCAACCACGTGGAACGGTCTACATTCGAACACAAGCAAGCACATATTGAAAGCGAACTGCAAACAATCAACACGAGTTGCAGTGAAACTCTTTTTCTTTGCTTGCCATTTATAACGTTCCAGCTGTTTGCAATGTGAGCGACCGGGTACGCATGGTGTTGTGGGGGGGCGGGAGGAGGGGGGTATTGCTGAAAAACATGGTAACTTCACATGCAGCAACGGGGCTGTCGGAATGTGGGATTGGTTCCCTGTTGGATAATAGAACCTCCTCCTTAGATTGCCACGAGTACTTTTTCTGTGGGTAAAAGGCCGTTGGTTTCCGCAGCACTGCGAAGGAACCAGAGTTAAGCCAGCCCCTTTGGTTTAAGTACCCTCCTTTTGGTTCTCCTTTAAAAGAGGCCACGGTTGTCGAAACAAAATTCGCCGCACGAAAAGGAACCCTAGGGGACCTTTACACAACCTCGAGCAGCACACGCGTTTGCCTTTTGGTCAGTCCTCTGGCTTCGTGAACTATGCCGGGTGAGGTGCCTTAGGCGGGCGGGGAGTTGGTTGTCTTCTAGTTCGACTGGAAGTAGCTTTTTAACTTTTGGAAAATGATTGCTTCCAGCCAGTAGCCAGCGATACTTGCTTGTTTGCAGCTGGGGCCGTCTGCCCTTGCACAGCTGGGATTCTGGGCTTGGCCTTGTCCTGCTGGACGTGCAGCCCTCATCTGATTGCAGGTTTCATGTCCTTCCCAATGCACCCCAAAGCAGGTTTACACAATGTTCCTACTGCAATACAGTGTGAATAGATGACACCAACCCAGGTTTGAGCATGTCTCACAGATCTGCTTTCCTTTGCAACGCAACCTGGATGCGTTTTGTCGGTTTTGAAGGACGCGGCAGACCGAATGTAGCTGGGGGAGGTGGTTTCCATTGTACTCCGCCAACACACGTGGACCCCGCAAAGGGTTTTTTGATGCCAAAGGGAAGATTATTTTCCTAAGAATGGAGGACCGAGGTTACTTCCTCTTCAATCTCTAGGGGAGCATCAATATGGTGTCTACTCTGAAGCACAAGGCTAGTGGACTGTGACCGAGTGTGTCCCTTCGTATCGGTTCCAGAACTTTGCGCTTTGCAGAGCCTATGAAGAACTTGTCATCAGCCACGGAACTGGCCGGGGCCCTGCCCCTTTGTACGTGTTCCCTCCCTTCAAACAGGCAGGAGGTGGCTTAAAAAATACCTTCTGGGGCCAATTTACAGCGAGGCTCTTTGGGGAAGGTTGGGCTCTTCGGTGAAGCGAGATGATGATTCGAGCTCTCCCTGGGCCCTCCCGGAAAGAGTTCTTGTGATAGAACATGAAACAGCCCCTTGAGACATACTTTGTGGACAGAACATACTCAAAAAGTGAATGTCCTATGCAGGCAAACAAGGGCCTCACAGGGCTTTTCTGACCTGGGCGAGTCTGGGCAAGTGGCGAGCGGGTCCTTGCTGCCAGGTGAACGTTTGACGCCTGTCGCAGAAATGCTTGGGGGGTGATTTCGCAGTGGGTGGGTGAAACATTGGGGGATGACATGGAGACTTAGGTGCGGTCAAAGCCCCTGGACTCCCAAACAGTTACTTGGACATTGCTCAGGATGTTTCAGGCGCCCATAGGGCAAGAGCGGGAAACAAAGCATTGTACCCTGCTCTACCTCATGAATGGATTCTCATGATATATCTTTGAGCAACTACACAAGTACGCCAAGTGCCTGATCAAGAAGAACTGTGTACGCAGCAATATAAAAATGAGTAGACCAAACGTTTGAATCTGCGACTGCTTACTGCGTCCGTAGCGCAAGTTCATGTGCCCGGTATGAGCACATTTTCAGCTGGAAGCTTTTGGAGTCTCAAGGACCCGAGGGCACATTGCATGTGAAGAGGCTGACACTTGATCACAACAACTCATCTCCATACCCGAGCCCCAAAGGAGATCTTGGTTGTGTGCTCTTACGCATAGAGATGGGGACACCTTTTCTGGGACTCAAAGCTGGTACAAGGGTGCGAGCAAACAAAGTGGGCCCCAACATAGCGATCAAGTACCAGCCTCAGTCCGAGGGGCCAGCCAAGCTGCGCCCGCAACACGGACGGTCAGCCGGGAAGTGAGGACGGATCTGTGAGAAGCGTGATGGCAGTTTTCTTCGCTTGTTTCAGGGTGCAATTGTTTTGGTTGCACCGTAAGCAGTCGCATTCCTTGCATGCATCGCATTCGGGCATTGCATTTGTTTGAGGAATACCTCAGTTGTCCAAAGCCGACCTTTTGACCTTTTTGGTTTTCCCATTTTGGTCTATTTTTAGTAGAGGTGCCAAAAGGTCAACCTTTTAGTTCTGGGTCCTTTGGGCAACTGAGATACATTTCCCATTTTGACGCCTCAAGCTTGTTGGTTTCTTGGACTCTCGATCGCACCAAAACCGTTAAACGGGATCCCAGGTTGGTAGGTGAATTCACCGCCCATTTCAGAACCTATGGTGATCGGGATGTTGACTCTGGGTATTTGGGTTTTGACCAATGGCCATTTTGGTTGCAACTCCAGGTTTGGAAGCTGTTGCCAGCCGGGTCTTCCATAATTTGTTGGCCGGAAGGGAGAGCGATTGCCATAAGGTGCTACAATCCTCGACCAGGCCTGGTTGGGGAGGGCAGAGGCCTGAGCGTCCGCTGTTTTCTGTGGTGCCAAGGCAATGCCCCTTTTGCGACATTTAGTACTAGGTATGACAGGATGGGGGCCATGTTCCACAACTGTGAGCACGGCCCCTTGGGCGAATTCCCGGTAGACGGTGGTCCAAGGCAAATTAGGTTTTGTGACCTCCGTGCTCGGACTGGCGTTCAGCAAGGGGCCTTTCTTTGGACTTTAGCGATCTCTTGAGGGAAACAAAACTGGCAGGGTCCAAAGTTGAGACTCTGTCACCAAGCCAAAGATTCGCTCGCGCCGGAGTTCCGTCTACCAAAGGCTCAGGCTTGGCTCCCATGCCCAAAACATCCTCTGTTTTTGGCCATGGCTTCTCTGGCGTGGCGCCTTGGCTGAAAGAGCCAGCTCTTCGTTGCTTTGTGCGTGTCTCGGATGACAAGGGGCATGGGGACCGACCCACTCACAAAGGCCAAACTCACCATGTCGGTTCCCTCGCCCTCCGGAATCGACTGCGACCTCTGCTTCCAGGGGGAGTTCCTAAGCTCGGAATCTCACCCCTCGAGTTGGCAACGGTTTCGCTCTGGTCTCCCCAGTTACATTTCGGTTTTCGGGAGCCACGCCAAGGTTCAGTCTTGCGTTTGTGGCCTGAGGCATGGGAGGCTGAGAAACCGCATCACCCGGGCCTGGTGGTGAAGGCCATGGAGGGTATGGGGGCCTCCTGGACCATGGCAAACCTCATGGCGCCTCGTCCAAAGTGCCTGCCGACTTCACTGGTCTCATCGTTTGACGTGGTGACCTGCTGTTCAACAAGAGAAGATTCCAAAGTCGGACCCGAATTCGCGCGCGGCCCTGAGAAATTCCTCTTGAGACAAAATCACAAAGGGTTGAAAGCAATCAAAAGAAAGACCTGCTACTTTGAGCAGTTCTGGTTTTGGGATTGGTCATGATTATGTAGCCGCCACGCCTTCTGTACCCACTCTCTCTTTTCTGTCACTCTTTCTCACTTTTTTTTTTTTATTTTTTATTTGTTTATTTTTTTTTTATTCTCTCTCTCTCTCTCCCTATCTGTCCCTCTCTGTTTCGCTCCCTCTACCTTTTTCTGACTCTCTGACTCTCTGACTCTCTGACTCTCTGGCTGTCTGACTCTCTGACTCTCTGACTCGACTCTTCCTCTCTCTGTCTCTCTAAACACATCATGTGTACAATTCTATTAATTATATATATATATATATATATTATATATATATATACATACGCACAGCTATGTTATGTGTAAAGACTTCCGACCACTCCATTCAGCATGGCCAGGGTCGTGGTCGCACTCGACTCGAGGCGGAGGAAGCCGCGGGCATCGCCCTGCGGGTCTTTTTGCTGGACAACTCTGGATCCACGCAATCCCCGGATGGCCATGTGCCCCTCGGACACACAATTTGCGCCACAGACAGACACCTTCCGCCATGTAATTAGTGGTGGGGCAGGGACATGTTTGTTAGAAGGACCTTTTGAGGCCTGCTTGGGGTTTAAGGGGCTTCATGGACCACGTAATCACAGGGAGCTCAAAAAGCCATTGTACATACTACAAGGGATATTGCTAGAGAGCGGCGGCGCCTGGGGAAGGGGTGGGTTTTTGCATTGTTTTTCCGTGTTTCGTTTTTTGCTTGAAATGTTGACACTGCTTTTCTACAAGTTGCACTTTCTTGTATTTGTGATAATGAAGAGTGACAGGGAACAGATGCAATGGATTTGGGACTGCACTGTTTTGACACAAAGCCGCCATAGAGTCAAAACTAGCTTGCCAATTGCAATACATCAGCTGTCACTCCTTGGTGCACGCGTAGGCCTTGCTGGTGCGCTTGACGGGCTTGGAATGCTTGTTCAAGTGTGTGGACTTTTTGCAATCAATGGATTCGTTGTCGAGCTTGTTTTGATCAGACTTCACTTCATCTTCTTGAATTCTTCAAACTGATTCAATTCTAGTTGTTGTTTTGAATCAGAATTTAGATGGGATTTCCTTTCCAAGTATCTCTGTCTTAATCTGATTTTGGCCATAATCTAGATAGTCTGGTAAGGAAAGACAAGCTCGCTGTTCGTCTAGTTGCTTTGAATAGAATTCGGCTGCGGTTAGCAGGTGGAATGCCCAGGCAGCGATAGCCAATGTTTCCTTCTTACGGATAATTTGTCTCTTCTTGCCGACCCCAACCTCAAAGCAAAAGCCCCGAGAAAGCCAGAGAAGGCCAAAGCTTCAGCCCCTATGTATCCATGCTGGCTCAGTTGGGGTCTGACACTTTATTTTATTTTTGGTTGGATTCCTCGAGCTTTCTCACTAGTTCTTGAAAAGTACAGAACACCTCGAGAAACCCAAGAAACAAAAACATACCCCAACAGATACAGGAGTCCATGGGTCTTGTTTTGTGATTACTCATGGGAAATAACTTGGCAGCTGAAGGTTCGTTGGACCCCCGGCATGTATCTAGGAAAGAGTGCTTGCCCCAGGGACGTACGCTACGGTCTTGAAAGGCGGCGTTTCCGTGCGCGAGCACTGGCCAAGCGCGAGTGGAGTCTCCATTTGAGCAGCGCCTGCAGCCAATTCCTGTTCGAATAAGCAAGCAGTCCTGTTCGGTCAATCGATTGGATCCCTGCTGCTCATTGGTGGGGCCAGTTTTTGGGACGCCAAAGGAAAACCATCCATTTTTGTGATTCTTTCTTCGAGACAAGCCCTGGTCAGGTTTTTGGGGAATGGCTTTGCCGGGGTGGTTGAAAGGGAGGGCGCAGGCGAAGCCAAAGCCCATCTTGGGTGCCGTGTTACACGGATTTTCCCTTGGTCTCCCTCCATACACTGTGGAGGTTCGATCTCATAAGGTTTCCCTTTTGGGAAGGATCAAGCATTGGAGTGGCTTATGTTGCTATTTGAGGGTTTGCCAAATTGATTGGTGCAACGATTGAGCAATATTATGATCCATGTTTGGCGCTGTTTTGATTTCCGAAAAGCGCGTCATCCACGGCTTCCCTCCCGGACTGCCTCTGGACAAGCGACGTCATAGAATAACCCTTTGAACTGGGACTTCGCTGAATGCAACAAAAAAAAATCCTTTTGAGAACAAACAACATCTTTTAACAAACAAGAAACAAGCAGGCGAACGGGCACACAAGCAAGCAAGTGAGCAAACAAGCAAGCAAGTAAGGAAGACAGGCAAGGAATGCAAGCAAGAAGGCAAGAAGGCAGGCAAGCAGGCAGCGCAAGGCAAGCAAGGCAAGCAAGGCAAGCAAGGCAAGCAAGGCAAGCAAGGCAAGCAAGGCAAGCAAGGCAAGCAAGGCAGGCAAGGCAGGAAAGCAAGGCAGGAAAGCAAGGCAGGAAAGCAAGGCAAGCAAGGCAAGCAAGGCAAGCAAGGCAAGCAAGGCAAGCAAGGCAAGCAAGGCAAGCAAGGCAAGCAAGGCAAGCAAGGCAAGCAAGGCAAGCAAGGCAAGCAAGGCAAGCAAGAAAAGCACGGCAAGCACGGCAAGCAAGGCAAGCAAGGCAAGCAAGGCAGCAAGGCAAGCAAGGCAAGCAAGGCAAGCAAGGCAAGCAAGGCAAGCAAGGCAAGCAAGGCAAGCAAGGCAAGCAAGGCAAGCAAGGCAAGCAAGGCAAGCAAGGCAAGCAAGGCAAGCAAGGCAAGCAAGGCAAGCAAGGCAAGCAAGGCAAGCAAGGCAAGCCAGGCAAGCCAGGCAAGCAAGGCAAGCAAGGCAAGGCAAGGCAAGGCAAGGCAAGCCAAGCCAAGCCAAGCCAAGCCAAGCCAAGCCAAAGCAAGCAAGCAAGCCAGCCAGCCAGCCGGCCAGCCAGCCAGCCAGCCAGCAAGCAAGCAAGCAAGCAAGCAAGCAAGCAAGCAGCAAGCAAACAGCACCACAGTTTTCCATTTCAACACCCAAGCAACAAATCCCACATCCCTGGGAAGACTCATGTTTGTTTCCTTGAACCCCGCAAATATGGTCTTGCCCAGACCGACGAATCCGAGGCTGCAGTCCGATCCACACTACCAGGCCAGCCGAGTCTTGGTGCCGGCGAGCCGCTGGGACGAGATCGCGGCGATGGCGCTGGACCAGGCTGAGTCTCAGCAGCCAGCCGATGATCGCCTTTCTTTTTGGAGGTCGCCCTCCCCCTCCAAATGGTGACCCTCAAAAAACAGCCTCCTGCCAGCCGATCACCCCCCTCCAAATGGTGGTTGTCCTTATGGTTTTCCTTAAAAGCCACAAAAAAGGTACCCTCAAAAAACTGTTCCTTTTGGGTTTTCTTTAAAACCACTAAAAAAAGTTCCCGCAAAAGAAACACAGATTCTGGTGGCTGGGGCCCCTACAAAATGGCTGGTGGACATGAAGCGCAATAGGACGTGGTTGTGGCTGAACCGCCCTGAACTGCTGCTGGACATGAATCCCCTTTTCAGATGTCCACCAAAGGGTCCCCAATTTCCTTGTGGGACCTATTGACCAAAGAGATCGGCAAATCTTGAAGTGGGGTGGTCATCCAAGTGGGTGTGAGCATAATCATGGGCCTGCTTCCATTTGAGAGGCGGCCTCTCACTTTGGGGGGGAATTTGTGGCTGAAATGGGTGTCGCTTGTTCTCTTGCTTTAAGGGTTTTAAACCAGTAGGCCGCTTTCTCCCCCTTGCCCGTTTGATTGAATGAGTCATCGCTCTTGTCACATGTTTCCTTTCTTTTTGAGCAACGCATATCATTTTCCCACACAAGTGCTGGTCAGTTCTCGAAGAAGGCCTTCCTTTTGCTCCCTTTGCCTTTCCTGGGCATTTTTGTCAGAGATTCCGCACCCTGAATTGATAGGGCAGTGCGGGTGACTATCGGGGACACCTTTTGTGCATTTTCTCTGGGTGCCCTTTTTCATTTTTCTAGTCTTGGAGTAGGTTTCCTTTGAAACCAAGTACCGGAAAGGATGTTCCCATTCTTCTTTCTGGCCATTCCCAGGTAGGGGAACATTCTCGTTGGGCCTCGCTCCCTCTTTGTCCGGCCGTCTCGTTGTTTGCTGGGTGGATGTCCCTTAACATCTGAGCATCAAAGCCGGGCGTCGCCACCGTTCCACTAAGGAGTGGAACGCTGCCAGTGGGGTGAGGTGCGAGTTCGTGCTGCTGAACCCGCCCAGCTCGAGCCCCCAGGAGCTCAGCCTCAAGTGTCTCAACTTGCGGGAAGGAGCTGCGACTTTGGTTCTTCCACTTGTATTGGATTCGCCATTGGACTTCCATTGGATTTGCAGGTTTTTGGGGGCCCCCACTTTAGCGGGGGTCCAAAATGGTTTAATTTGACTTGTATTTTCTAGGGATTTTGAGGGAACTGTCAAATGTTCATTTCCCTAGTTGGTGGTTTGGGTTGGTTTGGTGGTTGTGGTACGCCTGGGGCAAGGTGGGCATTGCGTGGCTTGCTGTTGGTTTTCCTTCCTTTAGGTTGCAATTTTACTGTGAGCGGCGGAGCGCTTGAAACCGTGTGGGTGGATCGGCCAACATACGTCACGGTGCCCATGTCTTGACCCATGCGCCAAGTATGTGTTTGTTTGTGTTTGGGTTGACCCTCCTTTTACATTACCCCCCAACAAAAAATACCTAAACCACATATGAGCCACGGACAAAACACACTCGAAGACCACTTTATCAAGGCGGGGTACGTTTTTGCATAACACATGCCAAAACCATGCAAAACGATAAGGTCTCCCCCAAAAACGATAACCCTTAGCTAACACACGGCTCTATAATAACCCCTGCAGTTGCAACTTAGCTAGGGTGGGACCCTTGCGTGGCCACCGTAAAACGAGAAGGCAAGTCGCCACTTTCGAGCTGGAGCTGCCAAGGTGTGCTTCGTAAATATGACACTTGTACTGAGAAGTTGCGATTTTCGAGCTGGAGATGCGGAAGTGTACTTCGCGTACTAGACTTGTACTACAAAGTTGCGATTTTCGAGCCGGATGTGCCACAGTTCGAAAACACTGTAAAACGATAAGGTCTCCCTCAAAAACGATAACGTTCAAAAAAGTACCAGGGCCAAGTAAAGTGTTTCGTCCGCTCCTCATATACATATATATATATATATGACATAGAAATACAGATGGTGATTGTACCCTGAACAATCGCGCTTGCGAATCGGTGGCGCCCCCAGTTGCAAGTACGTTGGTCAAACAGAGCAGCAAAGGTGGTTGTGTAACCTTACCCAGGATGATGCTTCCGTTGGGAGGGAGCCCAATGACAGGAGAATTCGCCCTTAGCACTGGTTGCAACTTTCAAAAAAGGCAATAAGGAGCTGCAATTTTGCTCGGGGATGGGCTTAAGTTTTTGGTTGAGTTAGATATATGAATATATTAGATCCATGTCAAAGTATTTGGACCGAATGGAATGCCGATTTGAGCTGCACCCAGAACCTCTATTGTCCATAGCGTGGTGCAAGGCCCCTAGGGTCAAGAGTTAGCCTAAGCATCTTGGGTTTGAAACCAGAACTCCATGGGCTTGGCTCCCCACTGCTCAATTCAGTTGCGAACGGAGATGTTCACTTCTTGCAGAGCTCTCTGGTCTGGAGGTTGCAAGCGAGGTTCGAGGACTGCTGCTTTAAGTGAACGACCGAACTGCAACCTGAACCTTGCTAACTTTCGGCGTGCGCCCGATGTTTGGTCCACTTTCAGTCAGTGCCGAGAAAGTGCAATTGAGCGCATGCGCATGCGTACGCCGTCCTATACATGTAATTTACCATGATTACGATATATATATATATGTATATATATATATATATGTGTATAACCATATGTACATAATCATGTCACGACCCCCTTCCAACACCAAGGTTTTCCTGCTTAAACATGTACGTGTTGCAGGTTTTTTGGTATAGAAAGTCTCGTTTTTCCGGAAAACCTGGAACTGATGCTTAAACATGAGAGCATGTGTTTGATATTTGTGAAGATACATGTACATCGAGGACACATGCAGATGAAAGACCATGATGCCTTTGTTCTCAAACGATTTCAATGTCGGACTCTTAAGTCCGGCAAGGGGCGAAAAGGACGAAAAGGCAAAGGCAAGGGCTAGCGCCGAAGAGGCCGCTTTCAGCCCTTCAGGAAACCGCAATCATGTGGCAAGGCCAACACGGCCAACGATCCCTACTGGGGAAAGAAAGGCAAACCACAACCTTGAAAAACCCTTAGCAAATCCAAGGAAAAAGGAAAAGATCCAGGCAAGGACAACCAAGGTAAAGGAAAGACCAAAGCCCCGTGGATCATGGAGCCCATGCACAGGAAGCCACGCAGCCTCCTGTCAACAGATCGGCAGAGCCTTACCAGGATGATTGGGGCTGGTGGTTTTCAGAATGGAACAGTAGTTCCTCTTACTCAAGCCAGAGCGATGGTCACTTGCGTATCTAGCAGATTCAACACCGAAGAAGTTGGTGATAGTAGAAGTACGGTCACCCAAAATGGCTTGACCTACGACATGATTCCGAATGCCACACCAAGTCCAGCTCAAGCTCTGGCCAGTAAACTCATGGTGCCCATCATCAAGCAGACCGAAATTCAACCCATCATCCTTGACAATGGTTGCACGAAGTCCATGCGCAGTTGGTATGCATTGCACTAGTGTGTGGACCCTGGTCCATTTTTCTAAACATCAACGGTCCAAAGATTGTTGCAGGAAAGAGAGCCAGGTACTTGTCGATGATCGATGTCGTCCAATTGAGGCGGGGACTCTATTTTACGATAGAGAATATCCAGAAACCCACGATACGGACGTTGACGTCCATCATGCATCTCATGAAACATTCTCAGGCGACGTGGAATGACCTAGATTTGTGCATGTGGTCTACGTGACTTAGAAGTTATGAGACCAAGATTCAGAAGGCGTTCCAGTGTTCCAATTGCCTTGGAAGGGAGAAGCGCCAACATCAGCCTCTTTGAAGGCAAACGCCAAGCGTCAGGGCAGTCGCACCAAGCTTGCCCAGATATATTCACTCCTGTTCTGTCAGGAGATGGCGCATATGCTTCGCAGATGCCTCAAGGCGAAGCCCGCAGACAACCAGGTTTTTCTTCTAGAACAAATTTTTGAGACATTCTCAGACCGCCAAATAACCAACAACAGATCAGAGCTGCGCAAGACCGATGAGGAGTACAACGTGACGAGTTCCAGCACGCATGTCAAGACCCAAGACCGACGACCCTGAAGCACTTGGCAGACGCGTCTCTGGAAAGCTCACGAAGGCAGCAGTCACTGGAGTAGGACCTGGACTTTGGTTTTGAGCACGAGGCCTGTGGCGCATGACAAATAGGGAGCCAAATGGGGTTGTGTTTCTCAGGGTACTCGTCTTTTGTTGAACGGGGAGTACCGCTTGGAAGTCAGATTGATGCTTGTTTTGGAGGAGGGTACGGATCCCATCGGCTTGCTTCGGGGGTCTGAGGGGGGCGAGGAAAGATGGTTAACATGATGGTTCTAAAGTGGGATCTTGTCAGGTTCAGGGTTCAAACTTGAGGTGCTTGGGGTGGGCAGCAACGTCGGGTGCCCATCATGGCTCACGACAACTACGATATCTCTGTTTACCTCACACACACACAACAAGTGCGTCATGGACAGCTGTACAATCGGAGTCAACTCACCGTTGACAGCGCTCTCAGACGATGCTTGTGTGTTTTTGTGGCAAGCTAGCGTGCCGAGTAAACTCTGCGTGTTGCCAGCACACTGATGTGACTGGAACTAATCCACAAACCCGCATGTCATTTGAAGAAGCACCAACGATCATCCCATCCTGATTGGTGAGAGACATGGCTGCCCCAAGGAAGTCCAACGCTTGATCAGCAAGGCGATCGCAACAGCGGCGGTGGTAGTGATCACCAGGACCACCTGACCAGCCTGACCAAGGCAATGCCAAGCACCACAGCCACTAAGATGTGCCACTGATGCGCAACAAACACCTATCATCCAAGGCCTACATCCCGATGCACCGGTGCTACAGCCACGACAGCCACAACCTTCACCGGCTATGCAGCCAATTTCCTCGACTAGTTGACTCAATCGGCTAAGGGGTGGTGTTTCAACGCCTGCTATTCGGCCGACAGTTGTCGTGCCTTCAGCGCAACCAAAACAACTTTCACCTCCACCATTACCTGAAGATGACGATGATGAAATGCAATAAATGATCCTCCACCAATTCCGTTTCCTCAGGACCAAGTGCCCCGCCGGGAGTTCCACCTTCTCCACCTGACAGCAAGGCACAACCAGATGAAGAGTCGAACTCGTAGAAGATCACCAGGCCCAGGTGAGAGTAGTAGTGCTGGCCCGCCCGGGTCAGCTGCCCGTCCGCGCGCGAGAGCAGCGCGTAGGCCCCCGGTCCGCGCCGCAAGTTCAGCACGACGGCTCCATCCGCCCCCGTGCGAGCCCGGGCGCCGCCGTCCGCGGCCTCCGTGATCTGCTGTCGTTGTCTCGCCCAACTTGCCATTTTTGTTTTACAGGTCCAGTTTTTTTTGTTCGGCCGCGTGCCGCCCGCATTCTCCGGAGAGGGCTCAGATTCGAACTGACGCAGGTTCAGACCTTGTAACTAGATGAAGCTCTTTGGACACAGTTCACACACAAATACGACATCGAGTCAGTGCGCCAAGCCTCAACGGCAACAGAGCTTTGCTCACGCCGTACTCACAAAGACCGGCGTCTCTCATGGCTTCCACTACAAGACTAGACCACGGTTGGCCCGAAAGCATCACAGCCCCGTGATCATTCCCACGCATGTTTTTTGCTCGATGTGCAGTCTGTCAGCTACAACAGCCATGCGGCCTCCCAGCAGGGACTTCGACTACAACCAGCCCCTCATCCGCGAGGGCCCCAACGACTACATCCTGCTGCGCAACGGGCGGAAGAAGCTCGTGCGCTCTTTGCAGGGCGGAGAGCACCGGCTGACCAAGCTGGGCAAGGGCTTCTTCCGCGACAAGTTCTACGAGTACCTGGTCCACGTGCCGGTGATCACCCGGGGCAGGCGGCGCAGCGGGCGGAACGCCGGGGCGGGCTACGAGCGCAGGGACTGGCTGCCGGTGAACGAGCTGGGCGGCGCCATGACGAGGCACCCGGCCCACCTCACGGAGGAGCAGGTGGCGCAGCGGGTCAGGCAGCAGGTCGAGGCCTCGCTGGGCGACCCGGCCGGCCCGATCCTGCAGCTCTCGGACTTCCTCGACATGGAGGGGCACTGGGTGGTCAGCGCCCAGAGCACGCAGTATCGGAACTCGAGGACCGAGGTGGAGACGCTCCTGCGCCAGCGCATGAGGGGCCTGAGGAGCGTGAGCTTCCAGCTGCCCTGCGAGGAGGACGTGCTGCCGAGCGCCTTCGAGGACAAGCCGCTCTGCGTGCCCCGGCAGCTGGCCGAGCTGCTGCGGCACGGCCACGGGTGGCTCAGGCGGCTCGCTGCCAGATGCAGGAGTCAGCAACGGGCCGGGGAGCCTTTCGCAGGCTTAGCTACAACGAGAGGAGCTACAGCAAGAGGAGCAAGGTGATCGCTCAGTCAGAAACCACTTTGCAATAACGCTCACGATGACTCATGACGCTGCGCAATGACTCTCAAGATGACGCTGTGCAATGACGACGCTTTGTGCAGTTGCTCCGTGCAAGTTGCTCTGCGCCAATGCTCTGCGCATTGTTTCTGCGCAAGTTGCTCTATGCCAGAGCTGCCAGAATGTACTTCGCGTGCTGCCTTCGTACTTGAAAGTTGCGATTTTACAGCCGGAGCTGCGGAGGTGCGCTCCGCGTACTACGTTTGTGAGAAAAAGTTGCGATTTGGCAGCCGGAGCTGCGGGAGTGTGTGTACTCCGCGTACTGCGTTTATACAAAAAAGTAACGATTTTCCAGCCGGAGCTGCGGGAGTGTCCTCCGCGTATTACGTTTGCACGTGAAAGTTGAGACTGCTGTCTAGAAACGCTAGCATTGCTCCTTGCCAGTGACTCTCACGAGCATTGCTCCTCTCAAGAAAGTTCATGAGCATTGCTCCTCGCCAGTGCGTTGCTCCTCGCAAGTGACTCACAAGAGAATTGCTCCTCGCCAGTGCCTCTCACGAGCATTGCTCCTCGCAAGTGACTCTCTGTGCAATGACTCTGTGCAATGACTCTGTGCAAATGACTCTGTGCAATGACTCTGTGCAATGACTGACTCTGTGCAATGGCTCTCAAGATGATGATGACTCTGTGCAATGACTCTGATGATGATAGCTCTTTGCAATGACTCTCATGATGATAACTCCCATGAACCCAACGGAAGAACCCTTCGCCATGCTCTCGGGAAAAACTAATCGGCAAGAAACGAAAAGAAGCAGCGCAACAAGAGATCCGAGCTTGAAGCAAAACTCCTGGAGTGCAAGTCCCGGTGCGACAACGAAGTATTCCACTTAGTCGATACCAGAAAGCTCCACAGGAGAAACTGGGTGACCGGACGATGGGTCCTGACCATCAAACGAGACAAAGATGGCAACCCCGCAAGACCAAGGCACGATGGGTGCTCAGAGGATTTCAGGACCGACAAGAATGCGGACAGCCCGCCAGCTTCAACTAGCAGTTCAATGCTTTTGCTATGAGAACTCAAAACCAGTGTGCACACCAAAGTTTTCAATTAAAACCATGCTTGAAGCCGAACACATCATCCGTTTGGGACTTATTGCCTTTCAATCCTCAAACGAGGCTACCATAAAGAAGGTCACAAATCATCAGCAACACCATATGTTGCAGTGCCTTCAGTCATGTGAAAAAAGGGAAGTGCAAGATTTGCCACTTCTGGTGGGAGGTAGGCCCTGCAAAGTGGCCACATCCACCTCCGGCTGCCTTTGTACATACCAAGTACGCAGAACCACTTGTTTTAAAGGCAGAAAGGTGGGCACACTACCCCCCCCGCCCTCGCCCCCTGAAACCCAGTTTTTTGGGTAAGACGTTTGTTGTTGCACATGTTGTACGGGTTAGAGATTTCGGTTGCGCACCGTCATGTTGAAAACTGAGAATCAAGGGGAAACAGCAATATGTCCCAACAGGAATTGCAAGAGTTCCGAATAAGAACCGCAAGCAGCGCAATCAGCCCGATGTACTAGTTTTTCTGCTCGCGATTCTGTACACCTTGCTGTGGATTACACCTAGGCTCGGTTACAGAACTTGTGACTTGAGCCAAACGTGGCCACCACGTGTATATGTTACAAAACATACATGTCGCTGTGGTACCATTCACAAAATAGAAGAGGAATGAGTTCCAAATGGTTGCTGGAAGTCACCTCTGCATCTGCCCTGCAAAGCACCCATCATCCCACAAGTTAAATAAAACGAACACCTTGGTGTTGGGAGGGGGGTCTTAGCATATGTATATATATATATACATTATGCGGAACAGATAGATAGATATATTTCTATATATATACACATGTCCGTATGTCAGACACGCAGTCACCGACTTACGCGGCTGCCTTCCGGTGCAGAGGAGGGCCGCGACTATGTTACCATCGACGCGGCCTTGGGCAACACAAAGTCCCAGGCCCAGAAACATGAGACCTCGATGGGGGTCACTTGATTTGGCCGGGTGGGTTGTTCCCCGCCCGACAGGAAGGGGTTGTTAGATTTTGTGTTGGAATCCGCGTTTGCGATACTTCTACACCACGCCCCCACCCAGTATCCCAGAGCAGCTCGCCAGTGGATCCCGCCGAGTATCCCGCCAGAGCCGCTCGCCAGTGGATCCCGCCCAGTATCCCTCCAGAGCTATCCCTCCAGAGCGGCTCGCCAGTGGATCCCGCCGAGTATCCCGCCAGAGCGGCTCGAAAGCTTGTTGAGCAGTTATAGGCCCCAAGCCACTCGAAAACCATGCTTGAATTCAAACAACCGTGTTCACGGTCGTAAGCTCGTGAGTGTGGAGGGTGGGGATTGCTCGAAGCGAAGTAATTTTGGTTTAGGGAAGCGTGAAGGAAACCCAACCATGTCGGGGGTACCCCTATTTGGAGACACACGCAGGTGGACGCAGGTTTTCAACTTGCTTCTTGGGCCGTAAGCCAAAAGGTAGAATGGGCAAAAAACAAAGGTTTTCTCATAGGGGTCATCTTTCAATGATGAAACCAAAAGGCAGCTGAGTAGGGGGTCTCCTATTTTGGCAAATGCTTGCATGTTTGAAGAGATGAATAGGGTTATGGTTTGCCTTGAGCCATGTTGCCGACAGGAAACAACAAATGTAGAGTGTGCATTTCGGAGCCTCAGCTTTGTTCCTGAAAGAGTGTCGCACAACGGCCCAAGGAACGCCACTGGGATCCCTTCGGAATTCTCCGGGGGTTCATCTTTCCATTAGCCGTTTCAATCATCACAGGGTGGGGCCAAATTTGGAGCACCTTTTGGGGCTAAATTGAAACTTGAACCACTTGAAATCAGACTGCTCTTCCAAAACCTCCCCCCCAACTGCCAACTGACAAATTTCCACCATCATCCAGCTGTCCGTATTTTGTTAGGTATCCATCCTCCAGAAAAGAAATCAAACGAACAACACCAAAAAAGACCTGGGCCAAAACCAGAGAGATTTCTGGGCCAACACCAGGGAGACATGGGCTCCGGCCGGTGGCAGCATGATGCTGAGATAGGTGGCGCAGCTCGCGCAGCTGCTGAAGAAGAATCCCCCAAGGGGCGCCACCCCGCTGGCCGCGAGGCTGCGGCAGATCGCCGCGCGACTGCGGAGGGAGGCCTTGGGCTGGGTGGGTCCCACTGGGTCCTACTGAGCTACGGGGGGGTCGTGATTTTGACGCCTGGGAGGGTAGAAAGTCAGCCATGTGGGGGGGTGGACTTGAGAATGGTGAGGCAATTGTGGGGGGAGGCCTATCGGGCCAACATCAAGACCTGGGCAGATCCAGTGAATTCTTTATGTTGGTTTGACCAGTTTAACTGCAACCCGCAAATGGGAACCAAGCTTCAATAAGGCACGCCCAGATCCCTTTAAGCAGTGAAAGACGGCACTAGTTCGAAGGTTGTCGGGATGGCGTTGGGGCTTGGATTTTGAAAATGGTTGGTCGATGCTGTGCACGCGTCCAACCAATTGAAGTTCATCCGCAGATGGGAAAGGGAGCAATGTGAACATTGGTTTTGCTCACAAGTCCCAATCTTCCCGACCCCTTTTCGGCAAAGCACGTTTCCCTCGTGCAAGGTGCCTGTTTGCCTCTTTGTGGGTCAAAGATGTTCCCCTCCCTGAACCCACAGACCCATGTCCGGCGGAATATCGCCTTGGAACCTGATTCTGGGCTTCCATATTTTCAGGGGGTCAGAATGCATTGGAACGGGAACAAACGCTGGAATATGCGCATCTGCTTTGGGGATGTGTTGAATGAGAAGTCCCCTTTTTTGCCGATTCCAAATGGCTCACCTGTTGTGTTCGGGCCTTTGAACGATGCGAGGATGGCTGTGACAAGCAGCCATTTCAGGGAGCCACAGTCCGAACCCTCATCTTGTGGTCGGACATGTGCAAACACATGGGCACATTCCGTCACTAAACTTGCACGACGCGGTGAGGGTGAGAGTTGGAAGTGTTTGAAACGGAGGTGCGTTGTAGAATTCCCAAGTGTTCACACCTCGAGAAGTCATGGGCGCCAATCTAATTTCAGGGGATGGACATAGACAGAGAGTCAAGTTGGGACGGTGCCTGGCCCTGGCAGGATGGTGACTTGACTGGGCCATGGGGATGCCCGGCCCCAGACCTGGCTTGGACCCCCTCGGACATGGGACACCTCTGGCTTGGGAAAGCCTGTCAATTCGCCAACGCAACCTCAGTTCGTTCATGGGTTTCTCACCCGCCAGGCTTCTCCCTGTCAGGTGAAGGACGGCGGGCGCATCATGCTCTCCGTGGTCACGGACGGCATCCCCACGTCCCATCTGCATGATGCGAAGTCTGAGTTCATGCAGGACTTGAAGGGGAGGTTCCTGCGGCTTTCCCGATCCCCAAATGGCTTGCTAGCTTTCTCGTTTGTCGTGTTTTTGTTTCTTCTTTTTTGGGGGGGACCGGCTTTTGGTTGGTTTGAAGGGAAGAAGCCGGAAGAAGCTGTCCATTTTGGGTTGAGATGGTTCAGGTTGTTTCCATGGCTTACCCCATTCTTCAGCTTCTGCCCACCTGAGGTTCGATTGAACTATCCAGCAGATGGCCCGTTTGGGAGGGACATTGGGGACACTAATTTCCCCTAAAAAATGGATACTCCACAGACGGACTCCCCCCAATTGGGGTAGCCAAAGGCATAATTTCGATGGCTCATCTGCCCAGGAGCTGCGAAAGTTTGCCAGCGAGTTCAACACGTTCATGGTGATCCGGCTTGCCACCGACGAAAATGATGTCGTGGTGCGGCGGCATGTAACACTTGTTCAGTGGTGAAGGGTGCTCCCCTGGTTTATGTGTAGCCATCATACAAGACTCTGCTGCCGCCAGAGGCGACTCTGAAACGACGCAGACAGCTGTAACAGATCCGAAGCTCCCGCAAGCAGCTCAGGGGCAGCTGGTTGAATTCTAGCCGACCCAGACAGCTGCCACAGATTAGACATTTGGTTCCAACCCAGAGAATGACACACACACACACACTCTCTCTCTCTCTCTCTCTCTGAGTTTTCTGTCCTGCACTCGGCCCGGTGTGAGAGGTGTAGGGATAGCCTGATCTAAAGAGGCAAAGTATTTGGGGCCATGCAGCTGGAACTCAAATCGGGAAGTTTGTCTCAGTCTCAGAGGCCGGGTCACTTGTCGGTGACGCTGCACCCCCCTGAACCCCAGACTTGGCTCAATGACATTGAGGTGGACTATTACAACCGCATCGACGAGGAGCTGGAGCTGCCGCTGGACATCTTGGATGACTTGGCGGGGGAGGCCAAGGAGTTGAAAGACTGCGGCAACGGGTGGTTCGCCTACACGCCCTTGTTGCACCGCATCCGGGAAGGCTGGAAGCTGCACCAGGGGTCTTTAAGCAAAACACATCCGTCTTTGAAGGGCTACAACATCACCCTTTGCAAGGGCAACTTCAAGTGAGCTGTTGCCATATAAGCTGTATTCCGGCACCTTTCTGGCTGCCTAAGGGATGCCGGGATTCCGGGATTGTGGAGGGGACAATTTGAAAGGATGCCCTTCCGGGCGCCATGGGAATGCTATGAATTCTTCACTGAATGGTTTGGTGGACATAGTCCTCATACCCAGTGCGGTCCGACGCTCCAATCAGGATCGCCTAGCTGCTTACCTTTCCACAGGCCTCTGTCAGACGCGGTGCTGCCTGGGTTGCTTGCACGTGATGTGTTCGTGTCTGCCCATCTCAACGAGTATGTGGCGCGACAGTGTGAGTACGGCTTGTCCTATACTCACTGGAGCAGAGGCAGAAGACATTTGTCGTGTCTAACTACGTGACCCCCAACATGGCGTTCCCCCCCCCCTCCCCCCCTGTTTCTTCCCTTCTAGCACTCCCTTTGGAGGGTACCCAGACTCAAAATCCGACTCACCAGACCCCGTCGGCTGCTCGCCTCGAGGCGGCACCCTGGCGAAGCTCTTCGACCTGCTGGACGAGCGCCGCCTGCAGCTCCCGGAGATCGCCCAGTTGCTGGAGCCCCCGGGCACGACTGTGAGTAGCGGGACTGGACTGGCTGTGGCTTTTTCTGAGTTTCCGCGGGGGTGGAGGTGATTTGAAGGGAAACCAGAAGGGAAACTGGGACACACACACACACAGACATATCATGAACTCTACACTATCTGGTGCCCAACAGCGAAACAGTTGGCTTCAACTATTTGTTCGCTCTCCTACAAACAAATGCACCCGCCCTTCAAAGGACTGCAATCCCTGCCGGACAGCTCCTTGAAATTTCTTGAAACCACATGACCCATGTCGCCAAAGCGCAAGAGTCGCGCCATCTTTCCATGAGTTGATGGCTAGTTTATGGACTCGCCAAAAGACAACGCCACAACAAACGATGTGGACCATGTGTGTTCAAGGACCTCGGCCGTTGCTGGTTTCCAAGGCTGCTGTTCCGGGGACCAGAGGACCCTCCGTTCCCCCGCAACGCTTCGGAGCTCTACACGCTGGCGGAGGCGGGTGGTAATTTGTGCCCTGCAGTGGCACCCTGTTTCCCCTTTTTGGGATGGATCCCTGCTAGAAATGGTCAAATTGAAGGAGGTGTCCGATTTTCGCTGGGCAACTGAGTTAAGTTGTTGCTATCGCTTCTGTGATTGAGACTGTTAGTGTTGTTCCTATACTGGCCATTTTGTTTCTGGGCCACAACCAGCGCTGCGAGTGCTGCCACCCATGATTTCAAGCCCCAGCCGTCTTTCAAATTCCATTCCAATCAGCGACAGCAGCGCAAGGCGAAGTGCTACGCATCCGCAACGGTGTTCAACGGCCGCTGCCAGCGCATGACCCTGCCCTTGGATCTGAAGGCGGGCGATCGGAGGACATTGAGTCGGTCCCACTGTTTTGTTTCCATGGAGGTTCCTTCGGGTCAACTTTTTCGATGCAGGTGAAGAGTTGTTCTCCCTGATGTCTTGATTTTGGCAGCTCTTGCAGAATTGGGAGTCACTCCCAAAAGGGATCGATCGCCTTTGCGGGCCCTGCAAGTGAGTTCTGCAACAGCTCTTGTGCGTTCAGGGAATGTTTGGGTCGCCTTGCGCCATGCCACCCTGCGGCGCTTTTTTGCTTTTGGAGTCGAGAGGATGTGGGGGGTGCTACCGTGCATGGGTGTGCTTTCGTTCGAAGAGATACCACAGTGCTACGCTGACAGCGTTTTGCTGAGTGTGAAAACCAGTCAGCTCTTTTATCTCAGACGTCTTGACTCTAACTCTTTTATCGCTTTTTGGGGAGGATTATCTCAGTAAACTCTTGCGTTTTGGACATATGCCATATATGCAATTCGTGCTTCATGTCTATGGTTGTAAGGCCATTTGTCTGAGTGGCTTACTGCAACATCTCCAGAGGATCTAAACAGCTGGCCATCGCTGAGGAGTTGAAGAAAGCATTGGGCCTCACCACGGCGCAGAGAATTCGCAAGCACGTTCTTCGGGCTCTTTGTTGCTCGGGCAACCTGCCCCCCTGAATTGGTCACGTGCGCGCGCGTGTTCAGCTTATGAACTGTTTGAGTCCCGCGCGTGGTCTTATCATTACTTCTCCAACTCCAGACTGGAATTGAGGAGACTATTTCAAGTGATATCCAGTAAGTTGGAGGAGACACCGCCTTTGTGCCCCTCAAAGCGTGGAAGCTAAGTCGCCACAGGGGCCGAGGTACACTCGAGCGGGTTGCAGTCAGCAGCCCCTGATGGGTTTGTGCAGTGCTGACACCGACTTAATACAGAACCAGGGCCCGTTTTGGCACAAAAGGTGCCTGTGACATTTGCCGAAGGAAAGGAATGGGCGAGTTTGCCCGGTCCCTGGTGATTTGGTTTGCACACAAAAGCACAAAAAAAAGAACCCGCGTATGGCTGTCATGGGAACTTGGGCAAGGCGTGAGAAAGGCACTTGATGAGTTCAGAGCACATGCCGGAATGTCCGTAATCGTCCTATTGAGACTCTTTAAGGGAAGCAAAGACACCAGCCGCATATGTACAATCGGCTTGAAGTCAGTATTGCCTAGGATGCAGGCCAAGGTCGGCACGCTGGCACGCGCAGGCTCAGAAGTGTCAACTTGGGCTCGGGCGACATCGCACGAAACGCATTTTGCCAGACTGTGTGGGAGATTTTCTGTCAGCCGAGGAGATTCATACCAACCCTGAGATAATTGGTCCGGTTTGTTTGGACAGCAGTGAACACGCCGTCAGCACAAGGAAACGTTTGCAGATCTCCGATTGCCGCGGCCTTCGCTCCGTGCCCAGAGCCGGAGGCTCGTGGCACGGGTGTCCTGCGAGTTTGAACTTTGAGCGGCCAATGTTGTACTGTTGAAGAGAATGAGATGGGATTGCACTCACTAGATTGCCACTAGGTGTTTACAAGCTCCATGCGGCCCTTACTCACTGCCTTCCCACTCAATATTGGAATTAAATCCCTCGCACTTGCGGATTCCTGGGCCTGAGTTGGTTTGGATGCTCATGAAGGTTTTCAGCTGAGCCGACGCAACCAGCATTGGGGTGCCAAAAGCCACTCTCCATTGGGCCTTAGGAAGTAATTCTGAGATTGTCTTCTGCATTCGTTGCGTTGATCACATGGCAAGCCACAGCACTGGTGGTGGGTTCGTCTCATGACCCTCAAGACCGCCGTTTTGCCTTGCTCGGCTTCACCCGAAAGCCGCGCAAAGGGCGGGTGGTCCGGGGACCAAAGCAGACGTGGCGTGCTGCCCAGCCGCTCCGAGGCCATGGCGGATGAGGGGGAGGCCAGGGAGTCGCTGATTGGCTTGATCTTCCGGTTCTGTCCTTTTGGCCCCGTTTTTTTGTTTGGCCTTTGCTGGTTGTGGAGTTTGTGATAATTTGACCTCAGTGAGGCCAAGGTGACCTCACTCATGCTGTCTTTTCGAGCTGCGAGAGGTATTTGACCTGCTCTGTCAGGCGAATCTGGCAGAGGAGAGGAATCAGATCAAGCAGCTCCAGCCCGGGGTCTCATGGGATCAGATTGGGATCCCCGTCTCTGGACGGATCTGCTAGCTTGGGCCAACTTCTTTCTAACAACCGGTTGCCAGGGAACACCTAGGGAAACAAAAAGAATGGGAGGTTGCGGGGAATCCCAAAATCGGCAGGGTTGGCCATCAGCCAAATGTACCCCTTGTTTCAACAACGGTGGTCCATACTCGAGCGTGCCAAACTTTGGCTTCCATTCGGGGAAGCCGCGCTGGCCAAGATGACTGTCTCTCCTTGGTTGCTTTGCCAGAAATGATGCAACCAGGGGGTTGCGGGCCCGCATTTTGACACAGCCGCATAACCAAAACGCTCCAAATCCCTGAGGGCTTCACACTTTCGCACTTCCGTCAAGAACGCAACTCTTGGATGGGTTGGTCAAGGCTCACTCTGACCTTTGTGCAGCTCAGAGGGCTTTGCAGTTGGCTTGTCGGCCGGCTGAGCGTTTGCAAGGCTGCGAGACCCTCCGGGTGGGGGTCTTGGTGTTTTCAACGGAACAAACAATGGCTCCAAGACGTGGGAGGGTTTGGGCAGTTTCAAATGCCACCGTTCTTGGCTGCGACCAACGGATCCTGACCGGCTTCGTACAGCTACTTCAGCTATAGGATTCCCTAGCTAGATTTCATCCTCCAATTAGACCAAAAACAGCCCCTTTTCACACGGGACCCGGTTTTATACCTACGGTCGCTTTAATGGAAGAATGGTGTTCCCAATTCAGAATCCTGGAATTAGCAATTAAAAATCCTAGCAATGACTAGATTTGGAAGTGGGAATGCTAAATAAAGTACTTGGAATCTAAGAGAACGTCTTGGCAATGACTAGATTTAGAATTGGGAATTCTGAAATAAAGTACTGGGAATCTGACGGGTGGGGGGCTCATATGAAAGCAGCTCCCATGTTGCAATGTTGCTCATGCAAATTGACCGCTTTACGAGGATTCAGTTCCCTGCACCCAAGGTCCGACATTGCGCGGAAGCGCGAGCAGCTGGACCGGCTGAAGCAACGCAAGGTCGCCTTCGACGCAGCTTGGCAAAACCGCCGGTTCGCCGAGCAACTGGGCGCGTCGCTTCTTTTAGGGGACCGGGGTCCCCCAACTTCGTGGTTTCTGTTTGGTTTCCCTTTAAACCAACCAAAAAGGGAACTATCAAGAAAAGATACATTAAGGTTGGACCCCCCAAAATGGTGGTTTCCCCTTGGTTTCCCCTGAAACCAACCCCAGAAAACACACCCCAACTGTGAGTGCGAACAACTAGCATAGAAAATCGCATCTACTGCAAAGGGGATGACATGGGGTACACTCACCAGATCATCAGGAAACAGGGGCTATTCAACAAACTCGCGAGTCATGGGGTGACACAATTAATATTGACCATGGCTCATATGAAGTTTGGTCAAGGTTGACGGTGGTCTATGGCCCCTTTGGAGGGACATGGGGGGGACTCACTAAGGTTCTCACAACAATCAGGGGACTCGCTGAATCTTCCCCGGCCGCTTTGTGGAACTTTTTGTTTTGACAGTGGCTCTCTTGAAGCAGGGAGCAAAGCTGACAGGGCGGGAGAAAGGTGCGATGGTGAATGTGGGGGAGCGGGTCGGGGTTAGAGGGTTGGTTAGGTGGATAGGAGAGGATGAGGCGTGGAAGTGGGTGTGTTCTTTATTTCATGCCATGTTGACTCCTGCTCGCCTTTTATGCCAGCGAGCGGAACTGGGAAAGCAACAACATCACACATTAATCAAATGGAAGCTATGCTTCTCCTACATCACTCCTCAAGGAACTCACTTTCAAATGGCCAGATAGGTATGAACATCTTTGAATCTCTGCATAAGGGCTCTGTGTTTCGGATGCATTCCGCATTGTCCACCCCTCGGTTCTTTTTTTTCCAGCCCTCGGTTCTTGTTCTGGAACTTTAGAGCCCCGAAATCTCGATGGCTTGCCCGACGAATCTCTGTTCAACTCAACTCAACCTGGAACCCAGAACAGGGTAGGGAGATCCATGGTTGCCTTTTCCACGAGAGATGAGAACACCTCCAAACCGCCGGGGTGGTGGGACACCCCGAGGATGAGCTGAAGGAGCGGTCCGGGGAGCTGAATGCCATCAAGGCCGCGGGTGGGCGTGGCTCAACTTGCGACAGGCAGGGAAGGCGATGCCCCGAAGCTCTCCCTGGTGGTTTCCTTTTTTTGGGGAATCTCCAGGTTTCTATTTTCACATTCCCTACCAATTGCACCAGCAAGACAATTTGGACCACAAAGCCATGACCCTGCATGTTTTCCAGGTCCATTACGGGAAGAGCAGAATTTGAAAGGGTCTTTAGCTTAGGAAACCCCGAACATAGGCTTGGGATTTGTCTGGCATTCCCTTTCAACCTCCCCGACAAGGGTGCCTGCAAAAACCGACACGTCAGTATTGTTGAGCCTGCCTTGCTTAGGGAAACCGCAATCACACCACCCACGTGAGGCCATTGCAGCCCAAGTGTGACAAGTGAGTACCGTGATCTTGCCATGGCTCCCCTTTCTGGCTCTCAAAGGGGCATCTGCCCTCCCAGATTGCCACAGAAGCTGGTAATTTGAAGAGGAACATGGCGACCAAAACCACGGAGCTGGCGTATGACTTCCACCGCAGTGGGCACAACAGTACCTTCAAAGGGTTCCTCCAAAGGCTGGAGGTTTTGACGGTTTTGTTTTCTGGGTAGGTTTGCCTTTTAAAGACGATCTTTTGGTGGGGAGGGTAAGTCACTCTTGGCCAGCTTTTTAGCAACAGCGGTTCTTACAATTTCGGCGAAGCCCAGGTTCTCCATTGAGCTTTTAGCTGGGCCAGTCCTCCATCCATCCCTTGACCTAGGAAAAGGTCGGCTTAGCAGACAAGGATTGAAAGGCCAGATGTCGAAGAGGGTCGACGCATGGCGTGCCAGGAAGAGCACAAGTTTGCGCAAAAGAAGCCTGGCGCCCATCGGCCATTTTCGGGTCAGCGGTGGGATGGTGAGAGTAGAGGGAGCGTGCTGTAAGGGGGTTGAAAGAAGTAAGGATTGTGAGACCCTGAGGGAATTTGGTGCGCTGAAGGGGTGCCCGCCATTGGGGTCAGCCTCCAGCGCTTGTTTGCGCAAGGCTTACGCGACCTTTTGACCTTTGGTTTGCGGATAAAATATCTGGGCCCTGGGCTGTTTCCCGTCTCTGACGGAAGATGATTATTCCTCGAAATTGAGGGACCATTGAAATGTGGATGTTGAAAATGCGCATGTTTCTATGTCATTCGGCAACAGTGACACGAAGAACGATCACCATACACACTAAGCTGAGCTTACGAGGTGAAGGCTCCTTTCAGTGAAATTGGATTCATTCCGAGCCTCCGGTTTCCTGTTGCATCTGAACATATTTTCGGGCAGCTCCCTGGCTCACTGAGGGCGCAGAAGGCGTCGCAGTATGGCACCACCCAAAAGACAGCCTGGCTCCCGGGTCAATGCGGGCACGTGAGGGGGCACGGGTGCAAGCGCTGCAGATTCACTTGCTCCTCTTTCGAATTATTGGTAACATGGAAAACAGGCTGGTCCTTTCAACGGCTACAAGCGTGGTATGAAAGAGCACTCAAGTCAGAATCGGGGAACTCGCGCGTCATGCGCGTCTGTCATTTTGCGGAGTTGGTGTATACCGTATACCCTTGTTGCATGAACCCGGGCCGCAAACAGGTAGGCGTCATCTTGGTTTCTGAATATTCACTTTCCAGATAGGACTTTACTTCAACTAGAATTGACATTTTGAATATAATTCAGTTAGAATATAGCTTTCAAGAATGTGTTTATGTTCAACTACAGCTTCTAGAAGCAAATCCTTTCCAAATAGGAGCTCCATGAAAATGTAAATAGTTCCGGGTAAACTCCAACTAATCTTTACCAAAATAGGTTAGATAGGAGTTTATTCCCAAATATAATCTAATCTAAGAGTTAGATATAATCTAATACGAACACAATTCAATTAGCTTTTGAGAATAACAATTAAATAGAGACTACTTCTCGATTATCACTCGTATTAAATATGGCTAAACATTTAAGGGACTTCTACAAGGAAATTTGAAATACGATTTGTGTTATTTATATCCTGGCCCTTTTGTAGCGTAAAAAAGGTCCGAAACTACACTTGTTAGACGGTGTTCCAAAAGGAACTTTCAAGGGAAGTATCACTATCTTGAAACAGGGATTCTAGCTAAATCAGTTGTGTCTTAAGTTCTACTTGCACAGGAAAACAAAACTCATTCTATCTCAAAAGGTGGAGGTAGTAGATGAGCAAAGGGGGAGAGGTAGTTCGAGGGGGGGAGGGTGGCCTTCTGTGAAGATACATACATATACATATGTATTTAAGGGCTGCCGCCCAGTGCCGCCGATCCCTGGATTTAGTTGTGGTTTTCGAGCAACCAAAAACAATGCCCTTGGTTTTGGTTTCTTTTTGACCCAAATGGCATCTGAGGCGAGGTGCCGTTTCGACAGTGATGCATAGTCATGATTATGATCATCGCTGCTGGAGATGCTGGGGATGCGTAGTGATGATTATCCTCATGATTGCCAGAGATGCTGCGAATGATGCATAGTGATGATTATCATCAAGGCCAGGCAGGACTCCAAATCTCAATGACACAAATGGCATCTGAGGCGAGGTGCCGTTTCGATAGTGATGCATAATTATGATTATCGCTAGGCACCCTTGGTAATGCAGAGGATGTTACGATGATAGTGATCATGACAGTTATCCGCAGCTTTGGTAATGCAAAAAATGCTACGATGATAGTTATTATAAGAGGCATCATCTTCATGATGATTGTCGCCTTCATCATCGTCATCATGATATTCTTCTATCATTTCAAATGCGGTATTAGGCATCCTTGATAATGCAGAGGATGCTATGATGATAGTTATTATGACAGTCATCCACAGCTTTGGTAATGCAGAGGATGCTACGATGATATAAAAGTCATCATCCTTATCATCTTCATAATGATTGTCATCCTAGTCATCGCCTTCATCATCGTCATCATGATTTTCTTCTATCTTTCTTCTATATACATTTGAAATGCATCCTTGGTAATGCAGAGGATGCTACGATGATAGTTATTATGACAGTCATCCACAGGTTTGGTAATGCAGAGGATGCTACGATGATAGTTGTTATAAGAGTCATCATCCTTATTATCTTCATGATGGTTGTCATCGTAGTCATCGCCGTCATCATCGTCATCATGCTTGTCATCATCATCATCATCATCTCTTCCTTCTATTCTTCTATCTTTCTTCTATAGACATATCAAATGTGGCGTTAGGCATCCTTGGTAATGCAGAGGATACTACGATGATAGTTATTATGACAGTCATTCGCAGCTTTGGTAATGCAGAGGATGCCACGATGATAGTTATTATAAGAGTCATTATCCTTATCATCTTTATGATGATTGTCATCGTAGTCATCGCCTGCATCATCGTTATCATGAGTGTTATCATCATCATCATCTCTATCTTTCTTGTATATATATTTCAATTGTGGCGTTAGGCATCCTTGGTAATGCAGAGGATGCTACGATGATAGTTATCATGACAGCTTGAGCAAATCCCTCAATGAAATCATATGAAATTCTGATGACAAATACACACTTTTAACCTGCCTGAGTAAACAAATAATAATAAAATAATATCTTCATATTTCAAATGTGGCGTTAGGAACCTTTGGCAATGCAGAAGATACTACGATGATAGTTATCATCAGAGTTATCATCCTTATCATCTTCATGATGATTGTCATCATAGTCATCGCCTTCATCATTGTCATCATGATCATCATCATTATCTCTTTCTTCTATCTCATTGTGGCGTTAGGCACCCTTGGTAATGCAGAGGATGCTACGATGATAGTGATTATGACAGTCATCCGCAGCTTTGGTAATGCAGAGGATGCTACGATGATGTCATCGCCTTCATCATCGTCATCATCATTGTCATCATCAATTATCACATCATCTCTTCTTCTATCTTTCTTCTACACTTCTATATACATTTCAATTATGGCGTTAGGCATCCTTGGTAATGCAGAGGATGCTACGATGATAGTTATCATGACAGTCATCCACAGCTTTGGTAATGCAGAGGATGTTACAATGATAGTTATCATAAGAGTCATCATCCATATCGTCTTTATGATGATTGTCATCATAGTCATCGCTGTGATGATCGTAGCATCCTCTGCATTGCCAATGGGGTCTAACGTTACTTTTGAAATGCATATAAGAATAAGAATAAGAATGAGATGATGATGATCATCATGATGATGAGAAGAGCGATGACATCATAATAAGGATGGTCATGATGATGATTATGATGATAACTATCATCATAACACCCTTTGCATCACCAGTGCTGCCCAACAAAAGATAATGATGACATCCTCGGCATCACCAGTGCCGGCTAATAAGAGATGATGATAACCATGATGATAGTGATGATGAGGAGGACTGTGATGATAAGTACCGTCGTAGTATCCTCTGCATTGCCAATGGGGTCTAACGTTACTTTTGAAATGCATATAAGAATAAGAACAAGAAGGAGATGATGATCATCATCATGATGATGATGAGAAGAGCGATGACATCATAATAAGGATGATCATGATGATGATTATGATGATAATTATCATCGTAACACCCTTTGCATCACCAGTGCTGCCAAAAAAAAGAGATGGTGATGACCATGATGATACTGATGACAAGGATGAGGACTGTGATGATAACTATCATCGTAGCATCCTCGGCATCATCAGTGCCGGCTAACAAGAGATGATGATGACCATGATGATAGTGATGACAAGGATGAGGACTGTGATGATAACTATCATCGTAGCATCCTCTGCATTGCCAATGGGGCCTAACGTTACTTTTGAAATGCATATAAGAATAAGAATAAGAATGAGATGATGATAATCATCATGATGATGATGAGAAGAGCGATGACATCATAATAAGGATGATCATGATGATGATAATTATCATCGTAGCATCCTCGGCATCATCAGTGCCGGCTAACAAGAGATGATAATGACCATGATGATAGTGATGGATGAGGACTGTGATGATAACTATCATCGTAGCATCCTCTGCATTGCCAATGGGGCCTAACGTTACTTTTGAAATGCATATAAGAATAAGAATAAGAATGAGATGATGATGATCATCATGATGATGATGAGAAGAGCGATGACATCATAATAAGGATGATCCTGATGATGATTATGATGACAACTATCATCATAACACCCTTTGCATCACCAGTGCTGCCTAATAAGAGACGATGATGACATCCTCGGCATCACCAGTGCCGGCTAATAAGAGATGATGCTGTTGAAGGATCTAGAAATGATGATGATGATGTTGACGATAAGAATGATGAAGGATCATATTGATGATGATGATGATGATGATGATGATGGGCATCCGTATGATGCCAGTAGTCATATGCTTGCCTCAAAGATTAATCCATGCGCTTGTACTGCAACCACCCTTCCCGTGCGCCTCCCCTTTGAGGAGAAGGGGTCGGCGGATATATGTAGATATGCATACATATAAATATATATATATATATATGTATGCATGTATATAGTACCCCTAAAGATCCTGTGCCTCTTCATAGAGTACTGTAAGATGCAGTGTTTTTGAGCATTACACCTAACTTTGCATACCTCCTGGAAAAAGGGTCAACATGAGCATAGCTAACATGAAGCAAACCGCTCACCAGAAGCACTTGAAAGTTTGTCTAACTAATAACTTGAAAGTGTTTCCACTGGATCGCTAAGCACTTGAAAGTATGTTACCACTGGATGGGAAAGTTCAAGATTGAAGATTGCACAGAAAACTTTCTGAGAATTGGCAATCCTGGCCAACCCCAAAAGCGTTCAAGTTCTTCCAACACTTGAAAGTGCTTTCCCACTGGATTGAGGATTCAATATTGAGGATTGCGCAAACAACAACTTTCCTGAGAATCATCCATCCTGGTCAACCCCTAAAAATGTTCAAGTTGTTCTATGTTACCACTGGATTGAAGATTCGAGATTGACATATTTCACGGAAAGCTTTTCCGAGAATCTCACTGACCACCGAGAGAATTGGGACAAACCATTTTGTTTGTTTACAAATCTGGGATTCAAGATTCAAGATTGACATTATTTTCTCAGATTCTTGAATCTTGAATCCATTTCTTTCATTTTTGTTTTTTTAATGAAGATTCTGGGATTCAAGATTTAAGATTCATTTTTTCCTGAAAGTATTTTCTCAGATTCTTGAATCTTGAATCTTGGATGCATTGAAACTGTTCAGATTGCAGATGCTGATGTCATTGCTTTTGTCACATATGTATGCATGCATGCATATCATATATACATATGGCACACCCCTAATTATGACACACAATCCAAGAATCAAAAAAGGCACAAAACACTGGAAAATACAGGTCAAACACACCAAACCAGGGGTACCATATATATATATATATATATACCTATATGTATATATATATATACATATAAATTATACATATATAATTATATATACACATACATGCATTATGTACTTAATACGAAACAATTTACATTCGCATCACACATGGGGTTTTCGCCATTGAACATAGTCATGTGCCAAGCTTTTGAGCCCGATGGCCCCACCAATCACATCACACCAAGGAGAGACAACATGGGCCCCGTTTCAAACGGTTCTCAGAGCCCGTGCGTTTTTGGTTTCCTTAGCCAGTCTGAGTTGGTCTGCGAGTCTATTGTTTGTGGCGCTTGTTCGTCATAAAGTTTGACTTGTTGTGCCAAGGCAGTTTCCCAAGTCAAAAGGTCACAGATCCGACCAAGCAGTCAAGGTTCTTAGTTACCATGGTCTGTCACTCACTAGGTCGAGGTCGAAGGCGGGGACTTGCCCTCTGCCTAGCTGAACTAGGGGCTGGTAACTCAACGAGCCCAGCTTCTTTTTGCTAGCACGTGAATGAGGCGCTTGAAGAACCATTGCGCAATGCGACGGTGACACGACTCTCCAAACATGAGCCATCGGTTTGAAGAGGGGCGATGTTCCCTTCTTGGTTTCCATTTTGAAGCAAACCTCATTCAAGGACCATTAGCCCTTTTAAACACCCGTGTGGCGCGCTTGGGTTACACGGGACAACACCAGCGTGAAGCCCGACAAGCATAGTCTGTAGGGGAAGTTGCGCAAGCCGTAGGAGCGAGTGGGTTGTCGTGGGAGTCCCGGGTCTTGCGTTCAAACCCTGCTGGATACCCGAGAAGCTGTTCTATGTCCAGCCCCACAACACATCAAGACCCCATATGCGCGAGAGCCGTGCAAAAGAAATGGGCTGTTTTCTTTTGCCAACACTCTGTGCCCGCTTTTCATTTTTGCTTTCCACACATCTCTCGTTCCTGTTCCAAATGGGTGTTGACTGTGTCTTGAGGCGGCGTTTCTGTGGTTTCAATGGGTAGGCGAAAGGAAGGGATTCCACATTTTGAAGCAGACCTATTTTTGGATCCTGTTTGGCAGTGTCCACTTGAGGGATTGACCTATACACTCCTAAACTACATTTCCTCAAAGAATAGGGAAAATCACGCACTTGGCCTCAGCAGCAACAGGATTCCGTAGAAGTTCCATAAGGAATCGGGGTGGTTTCGGGCTGGATAGGTCCTTTTTCGCGAGTCGCCTCCTGTCGCGGCTTTTCTTGGCGACCTTTCGATCGCAACATGTGGGGTCTGCCTCTTTGAATACGTTGTTGCCCAGGGTTGCTTTTGCTGGAAAAAACACTACCGCCAAAGAACCGCACAAACGGTTCATCCCCTGATTGATTCCCATTTGAATGTGTGCAGTTGCCAGCCACAAAAAGACCCCCCTTCCCACGTTTAGCCGTTCCCAGATTGAAGAAGCGATTTGGATCGTTTCTATCCTAGATACTGACCCTAAGCAACGGAACACCTGACAGGAAGATTTGACACCAATTCTGAGTAGGGTGCCCAAAAGGGGTCTTCAAATTCAGGTGGAAGCGGAGACCCACTTCATGAGCGATGAGGTGAAGCGGTTCCTCCAGGCCAGCCGGCAGAGTTGAAAGGGGGGCTAGTGGGGTTTGTACGGTTTGAGTGTGGGGGGTGGGGACAGGGGGGGTGAGGGGGCTTAGAGGTTGGGCCAATTCTCAAGGGATGCGAGTTTTGTTCACTTAGCACCTTTATCTGGATCCCATCAATCTGTCGAGTCTTTTTGGCTTAGCAACGGCTTTTGCACCGGCACCCCTTCTTGTAGCCAATGCTTAGCATTGAGCCGGTGCCAATCAGAAACCGGTGCGAAGTTATAAACAGCTCGAACTCCCTGCTCCCAAATCGGGCTAGTTTGAGGGGCCAAAAAGCTCTGAGGGGCTCAGGCTGAAGGAAACCCCGCCGGGCGCTTTTTGGCTGATCATGTCAAGGGATCTTCGCAATCAATGGTTTGTTTTTGGCCCTGTTCCTTTCGCTCAGCAGTGGAGAGGCAGTTTGGACCTCTGCTCGGCCAGTTCGCCCCGAGGTGTCAATGTAGAAGCTGAACAGAAAGCATGAAGCCAAAAGGCTTTTTCACGTCGGGGGGGTCGTCGTTTCTAAGCAAAGGCAAAGAGCTGAGCAGAAGGCGATGTTTCTTCAGATGAATTACTCCTGTCTCGCACAAACAGCCTCCTCCCACACCAGCTCCAAAGATGAGCGAAAGCGCTTCGATCCGACGTTTGTTGGGTTTGAGTTGTTTGGGTGAAGTACCCAGACAGCTCAGGGAGCGTTTTTTCATCTACTAGCATGAAACCTGAGCCGACATGATTTGCAAAAAGGCCCCCCCCCCCCCCGGCACCCATTGCCATCAAACATCATCCTCAAGCGGCACAAGTTGCTGTTTGCTCCCCTGGCAGGAAGTCACTTTGGCTTTGCATGCCTTCAGTTTCACATAAACCCATCGTTTTGTTGGTTCCCGTTCCCGTTCTTTGAGGCAATGAAGGGTGAACCCTGTATGCAATGCGTGTGTCTATGGCAAGAGATCCCTTCAGGTGGTTAGTTTCCAATGCGCTTAGGGTCATATGATTCTGTCTGAAAATACGAGAACCTTCAAATTCGGTCTGTCTCTGCCCGTTTCCCCTCAAAAAGGGTCCAGCGTTTTCTTGCCCCTCCAAGTGCGGATAGGAGCGGATCCCGTCCATGGCCCCGCCGGAAGAAGAGCCCGACAACGACGTGGATCAAGGCGAGCGGTTGGCCTTCGTGTGCGAGCCTTCGCAGAGGTCCCTTGGGTCTTCCTGATATCAGGTCACGCGCAGCCCAGATGGGGAGGGTCAACGCTTAGTCAGTTCCCCCGACAGGTGCGGAAGAACTGGCTTGGATTCTTCACCATGGTGTGGGTTCCCTTTAGCGCCAGGTTTCGATGAGGACCCTTATGACGAATTCACAGCAAAATTCTCGGCTCCGTGGCAGCTTCTCATTGATTCCAGATTGGTTGGCTTAGATAGGTGGCTCCGTGTCTGGTGCTGAGTGATGTGTTCTCAAGGAACGCCTGCCTTAAGATGTCTTCTGGCTATCCTTGATTTGGGCACGAGAGTTGTATCTTCCCTCGGGTGAATAAAAGGAGGCCATTTAAAGGCATGTTTTCCATGTGAGGAGTACAAAGCCTTTCATGCAAGACCACGCAGATGAGAGATGGGGTGGCCGAAGGCCACAGTCAGGCGACCATAGAAAGCGCGGATTTCTCATCCCGCGCCATGGTCAACAAACACCTCAACCGGGGACTATGAGATGGCCCTGGACGAATCGGGATTTTCGTCCAGCAATGTATATGGGCCTTTTTTTCTACCAAAGGAGCCATGGCACACTTCCGGTTTCCGTTCGTTCCCTTTCAACCAGCCCAGAAAGGGTACGATTGCCCTTGTCGCTCCGCTTTCGGCTAGTGCGTTCCAGTTGAATCATGAATTAGCGAGGCCCGTTCTGGCTGCTTTTCAAGGGAAGCCAAAAGGACAATCGCCATTTTTGGAGTGCCCTATTTCAGACATGTCCAAATAAACAGCACACGTTGTTTCTTGGAGAAGGTGGATTCCCCACCCCACAGCCAGTGAGTTTTGACATTGTGTGTTGTCGTGCATAGGTCCATTCATCTTTGAGTGCTCAGAGCAGTGCAATAGGGAGGCCCTCAGGAAAGTGGTCGAGTTTGTCCCTTGGGTGCAAGAAATAACGGTGGCTGACTCCGCTGAGCACTGACTTGCATGCATTCGACTCCAACCCGTTTGCACTCCTGAGATTGGCAACATGAGGGCGGCACTAAATGCAGATTCGTTGGGGCCTCTCCTGAATGTTGATGAACATGCTTTGGGTAGAATGTTGGCAACGGCTTAATTTGGTATCCGCTCCTGCTGCAGCTCCTTGGTGTTTTGTCACTGTGGGTTTCAGGTTTCCTTCATGTTCCTATTCAACCACAAACGTTTGCAGCAACATTATGACCTTTTGCAGATTTAATAATATATTGTGTGGTCAAATGTTGCCAAGCTTCCAAAAGGGGCCTCTCAATTTGGGGACGCTGTGTTGTCACTCGCATTTTGCAGCAGGCGTCGCGGACGTGGACGCAACCGTCGAGGAGCGCAGTATCTTTGCATGTGCGTGAAATCCCTGTTGATCCGCAAGTATCTGTTGGAGTTTCGGCAGAACGGGCCGGACAAACCTGCTATTGAGCACCTCGTGGGTTTCTCTGTGTTCTTCTGGATCCCCAATTCAGGGACAACCCAGGCGTTGTCGCTTTGCGCTTGCTGAAATGGAGCGGTGGCTTCATGTTTGCTTCCCTACGAACCCACCCCGGAAAGAGATCCTCTGTCTTTGTTGACAGCCGCTTGCCTTCCGCATTTGGGCATTTCGCAACATCTCGAACGTGCGACGTAGGATCCCGGCAAGAACCTGCACGACACGGTCCTTATTAGCCCGGAGCGCCAAGATGGGACAGCCATGCGTTGGCACCCGCACCCAGAGAAGCGCGGTTGGAACTGTCTTGGGTGAACCCCAACGTGCAAAGTCACAAACCGAGGGTTCCCAATTCTTGGGGCAACCCCAACTCCCCCAATTGGACTGCCGAGTCAGTACCACGTACTGCCAAATAGCACGCAGATGCCGATGCAATGGTCAAAGCCTGACAGCCTTCAAGATCTGTTCTTCCTGGCAATCGAAGAACTAGCTAGAGCACTTCAGAGAGCAGTGCCGGTTACAAATTGCCTTTGGGGGTTCAAAACATCCGAGAAGCGGTTCGGAGGTTACGTGAACTTCGCGGGGGACAAGAAGGAGGAGGACTTCAAGGCATCGGATGGGTGTTTTGAAGTGCACAGGCCGTCATCTTGGAAGAGGGGTGTGCACTAAGCCATTTTCTCTTGGTGTAGGATGCATGGGAGTTCGCGAGAATCCAAGAAGACACCTTTTTTCTTTCCCCCTGAGGGATACACGACCATTTTCTTGGTGAAGAAAGGTTGTGCAGTCTCCCTTGTTGGTGCATGTTTCGCCCGAGTGGCATGGGTTCGCTTGGTGCCTCAGTCAGTGGTGATTTCTTGCGAGTGGCCCGGTGAATTTCGACTTGAGCTCCCGACCTGTAGCACAACGACGATAACCCCAACAACGGAAGTTGGACCTCCCGTTTTCGGAGGTCCATGACCCGGATGAGTGGTGCCCTTGCTTTTATTCGCCTCTTTTTGGAGGTGGTTTCCCAAGCCAATTCCAAACATACTGCGAGGGATCAAGAGAAACCCCGAAAGAAGGGAGGCGGGGGTGTTTGGGGCCATTTGAATGGGAAAAGCAACGAACTGGCAACCATCCAAGTGTCGAGCCAAAGCGTTGAGACTCCCGCCTCATTGCCCGTCAAAGAGAGAGAAGCGAGAGAGAGAGAAATAGAGAGAGAGAGAGAGAGAGAGAGGGAGAGAGAGAGAGAGAGAGAACGCCGTTGTTTGAGGCTCACGCATCATGCACGCGGCTCACGGCTCACGCAGGTGTCCTACAGGATTGACCACTCCATCACGGTGGCGGAGCTTCTGAAGGATGCCTGCAACTATTGGGGGCTTCGGACTCAGCGAAAGCACATGGCTGTGGGTCAAAACCAATGGGATCCCATTTTGGGATGGTGCACCACCCATCTTAGAACCTATTTTAGTGGGGATTGGGATGTTCACTGGGGGTACGGAGCTTTGACCCACAGCCACATGACACCATTCCCCCCGAGCTATTTCCGCTGGAAGTGTGTGTGGGTTCTTTTGGTTTCCCGAACAATTCCAACCACCCCGAAAGTAGCTCGAACATTGGAGCCACACTCATGGTCTCAAAAGCTCTGTACTTGAGGTTCCAACGGGGCTGGCCGTCGGACCATTAAGGCTGCCTCTCCTTTCGAGGTGGCAGGGCCGTTCCAAGCGTTGGTGTCAGCTTCCATCCAAGCGGGCGGTGGGTGAGTTCTGTAGGTCTTTTGGCTATTGGCTCGGGCGGCCATTGCGAGGTGTTCGCGTCATGACTACACCCTTTGCAAGATCGAGAATGACGAGCCGAAGGATGGGAAACTGCCTGCTCACGCGCGCGTGCGCGTGCCGTGCACCTTTTCCTCTGAAATCCCGCAAACTTCCAGTCATCCCAGAAAAAAGGGTCGGATGCGTTCCATACATTCGACGCCTGAGGTGTGTCTTCACGGAGATAGCATGCCACGGGGTAAAACAGGGTCGGAGAATCCTTGTGTTCGATTTGCTTGGGGAATCCACCTCATCTGGATCAATGGTTTGTGATCTTGCACACCGTTGCCTTTTACTAAATTCATGGTAGAAAGGTGTGACTCTCAGGTTAAAGTTCGAACAAACCAACTATAAGCGAGCAAACAATTCCTAACCTTCCCGTATGATGATGGCTTAAATTGGCTTTATAGTACCCTCCCCCGCACAACCCCGTTTCATCTATTAAGGCCCTTGCCCTCAAGATGATCGCGAGGATCTCGCCGATCACATGAATGACTTCCTCCAGAAGGAGCACATTCTTAGTCCCCAGGAGCAGCCGGCGACCCCAGCATCGGCCATCCCAAGGGCTTCCCTCGCGCGTTGCGTCACGGGATTTTGTGCGGCACTTGTTCCCTTTGTGGTTGCTAGGAGTGATCGCGACCCGAAAAGGGTCCCTTATTCCAGGGTTTCAGGTGAAGTCTGGAGCGACTGCTTTTGAGAATGACCAAATGAGGAATCTAAGGCATCAGGAACGCTGCAGATTGTGGCAGGGTCAACGTGGTGGAACCTCTCGCATCTTTGCCCTTTGCAAGGTCCAAAGTTATGATGGTAGACATATGTCGGGTGTTTCTGAAAGTTTAGGAACTTCCCCCTTTTGTGGTGGGGTTACTGGTGTTTTGATTCAAGGTCATCGCAAAAGGGCTTCCCCGTGTTTTGGCCGCACACAAGTTCAACTCCTGGGGTTAAATAGAGACCAGGTTTGGGTTGTAAATTGGGCTGAGCCCATCCCGCCTGCTCCTGTGCTTCTTCCACTTGTTTGGACAATTTTTGAATGAGCTGACCTAGCGCTAAAACGAGCTCACCAAGACGAAGGTCCCTAAATGGTGGATTCCAAAATTCCAAATTCATTTGTGATGTGTGGCAATGTTTTCGGCTGCCATTTGTTTCCAAACAGAGGCTTCCTAAATGTGGTTTTGGGGGCAAATTATAGCGACCTCGTGCAGAAAGGTTGTGACCTTGCAGACAAAGGCTTCTTTCACAGGGATCCCTTATTTTCGCTCGGTGAAGCATCAACATTTGCTCTGTGGATCCTTTTTGTTTCCCCTGGACACACTGTCCAAAAGGTTCTGGAGCCAGAAGCGAGTTCCAGCACCTCAAGGCGTTGCCAACGCGTGGGGCTCGGCGCCGAATTCGGGATCAAACCTTTGGGCCCAACTCAAGCCCATGCGCTTGCGCCCAGTTCTCACCTGCACCTGGTTCGCAAGCTGGACATGGACCAGTTCAAGGCGGGCCGGTCGCTGGATTCATAGCATGATGTGGAACCCAAGGAGCTCATCAAACATTTGGCCACTGAATGAAGAACATCTATGGAAGGCTTGTCCAACAGCTTGGTTTTCGGTTTTAGAAGTAGCATTCTAGGGTCTTTTAATGAGTGAGATGGCATGTGAGTCAAAGCTGTGCACAAACAGATGGAGACCCTTGCGGTTGAGTTTGTATTCGTTTCCTTTCAAAGTTGAAAGATTCCTGAAGGATGCCGAATGCTGCACTTCTTGATACATATCCGGGCACAAGCACAACTCCTCCGAATCACTTTTAGTGAATGGATTTCTTATGTCACCATCTGAAGGGTCACACATATTGATGGTTATTTAGTTCAATGAGAGGTCAGTTCGCTACCACGTTCCGAAAGCTTTGAAAGTCTTTGATGTCAGTTGCACTCCACCTACCTTCCCTACCAACCACAGCAACCCTGGGGGCAGTTTCCTTGCCAAAAGAGGCGCCAGGGGAACTCAATCTGCGACAAACACAAGGACTTGCCCAGAGGGTTTGGCGCGGTTTGAGGCCGCGCAGGAGCGCAGGCAGAAGGACCGCAAGGGCGAGGCGCGGAAGTGGGCGGGTGGGGCGTAAAGGTCTGAGTAAGGTTAAAGAATCCTAGGTGCACATGCAGATGCGCACATACATATTCACATGTGTTGAGAAAAGCATCGATACACATCAGTTTGAAGTGCATATGTTATATGTCTATATGTTCATATATTGGATACATTTGTATGTTATAGATACATATCTGAATATGATTGCACCGCATTAACAAACTGTGATAGTGGATCTCTGTTGCCCCCCAGGTTTTGGGCGACTGAGAAAGACTTTTTGTGTGGCCTGAGTTTTCCACTCTCGTCCGACTAACGACCAGACCGCAGGGATTGGGGTTTACTAACATGGAACCTGATTGAGGCGTGGAAGACTATTTTCCTTCAGAAGGGTCCCTCTGGTGGGTTCCATGTGGACTGGGGGTAGTGTGGTTTACCTTGCCAAAATTCGAGCAACCTCGTGTCAGGTGGTTCTGGCCCCGAAAGTTGAGGCAGCTGGAAAGGCGGCTTTCAACATCTCGTGGACACCAAACAAGGTTTTCCACCTTTCCCAGTGACAGCAAAAGGGTCAATCCGGCAAAAGGTTTGGCTTTGGCAAACGAGGAGAGATGCTCCAGTCTCCGGGAAATCTCCTCGGTGTGGTTGGGGAACAATCTGCATAGTGTGTGGCGAGCTCACCTGGGGGTATAACGAGCTCACAATGACACAGGTCCTTTACTTGGGGATCCCTTGATGCAGCTTTTGGAATTATAGTAAAGTTTGCAGAACAATGGCTGCACAGGAATCCCATGTGCCAGCCATATCTCATTTGGAGACAAATCGCATGTCGCCGCTCAGGGCGAGGAGGTGGTTGCGGACGAGGCGTGCGACCAACATGACCCCGCTACATAGACCGCTTTGACATGTTCCCTGGAATGACACCAAAAGAGAAGGGGACAGTTTGTTCTTCCAGACCCATTTTTTCCAACCTTTCAGCGATTTCGGAAACTAGTCCACGGTTCTTCGAGAGTTGGGCAAAACACCGGATCCAGAAGCAGTGAGCGAGCAAACCTGGGAGCAATCAATTTTCAGGAAACCCAGCAGCATTCCTACAGCCCAATTTGATGTTTTCTTCGACTTCCGTGAAGGTTCCTTTGAACCCGGATTTGGGGACGGCGAACGGAATTTTCTTCCTAGATGCAATGTCCGAAGAAGCCAGCTACAGGAAATTCTACAGGAAGTTAGCCACCCCCACCCACCAAAAAAAAGTGGATTTGGCGCACATGTTCCAGTCGCATTTCCTGTAGCCGGTTTCTTAGAGCCTTGAAGGTTCCGAATTCATGCTGACTCGATGAGGGCAAGAAGCTCATGACCCTGAAGCACGGCCTGGGAAATGTGACAGCCAGGAACTGAGCTTGCGGTCGACCGGGGATCTTGGTTTTTCTTGAATTCCCCAAGAAACCTGGGGCCTGACTTTTGGCGCATTGTTCCGAACATGGCCCAGCCAAAATACGGACCTCGCCGGTCTTTTGAAGGCGTCGAAGAGCCGTCAGTGTCGTTGGGCTTGCAACATTCCTCCCGTGTTCCGCTTCTCGACACGCAAAACCGCGAAGCGGCATCAGACATGACAGCCGAAAGTTCAAAAACAGAAGCAGCTTTGGTTTGCAACTTCACCTATGAAGGTTCCTGGAGCCGCCAGGCCCTGTACTCTCAGTCAAAAGCCGATTTGGGCCAGCTTTTCGGTCATTTGCCTTAGTATCAGAGCGTATTTGCCTGTACTTGGCCGTATGAAGCTCGCAGTTTGCTGACAACATATTGGAATAAAGCGAAAGAAACTCGTATTTGGCCGTATGACTTTTGTTGCTTGGTCAACGCCTCCATGCCTGTTTGAAAACAAACAGTCTTAGCTGCAGCTTCCTTTGAAAGGGATCCGTTGTTTTGCTGCTGAATGAAATACTACACTTCACTCGGACAAATGATTGGTTTCTCATATATTTTTCCAACAAAAACACTTGTCGGGGGGTTCCCCAAAAGAACGGCAGCTATATGTCCAACCTCACATGACCCCACCAAAAGGAAACATATCAACCCACAAGTGGGGAAAGTTAAGTTTACTCTTCTCTTTTCTTGGGAGGGTGGGGGGGCGTTTAGCGTGAAGGGAACCGAAGGGAAACCGAGGCGTTTCCATTCTAGTGCAGTATTTGGATACCACCCCCCCATGTGCTTTTTCGCTTGCCCACTGTGGGGGGTTGAACCAGGTCTTTTTGGGGGGGTTGTTTAGTTGTTTAGTGGGAGCGAAACAGAAGTTATTGGGACACCCTTTGAATCAGTCACGGATGAGAGGACTTTCGGGCAGTGCAGGCCCAACGCGGGGCACTGGGGTGGATGGTGTCTTTGAGATCACCCAGGTGCTTGACGGCGTCCTTTCTGGTTTCTGGATCCCCGACCAGCGGGAGGGGAAGATCGTGACCTTTGACAAGATCCTCTCGACGTCCAGGCGCTTTTCCTTTGACCGCGTTTAGCCATTGCAGGTGCAGCTCCGCCTGGCCTTCTCTCAAGATACTTGGTTTCGCAGATCGGGCTTTGACCCTCAGATCATCGAGCTCTGCGCAGGCTTCGGTGGAATGGGCATCGGCACGGACTTCCTGAACGGCCAGACTGTCCTCAGCATCGACAGCAACCAGCTGGCCATCAACCGCTTGCTCGGCAACTGAAGGGACAGGTGTTGAAGCACCCGGATGCGGCTCGCCACATGGAGCCCCAACGGCACTGACGGGATTCCCATTTCAGCCGTGCTCGATGCAGGGCCACAAGGTGTTGGCCCCCAGACCGCAGACCATGCGGAGTGGCTCGCGCACGATCTTCATGCTCCAATGCCAAGCTGCTATTCTGGAGTGTGTGCCATGGCAGGTAGAGACGTCCAACACGAAGTCCAGCATGCGCTTTGCAACTCGCGCGTGCCGTGCAATGGGAGCTCTCGAGCTTGATCTGGCTGGCTACTGGCCCACGTGGGAAGATGAAAATTGCTCTAGCTCACCCCAAGCAGCCGCGTACGACGGCCCCACCGTGGGCAAGCGCCAACGGCGCCGTGAGGGTTCGCTTCTCGCTGAGAGCAAACCTTTGTCTCTTGGCCAAACTGCTGGCCCGCTCATTCGAGCCACAAACGACCATGGCGTGACACCACCACAGGCAATTTCTCTGCGCGTCAATTGGCAATGAAGTTGCCCTTGCTGTGCGCTCCGACAACTTGGCATAAACACGGTCAACTTCGATGATCGACCAGCAGGGCATCATCCACGGTCACGGATCTGGTCCGACTCCATCTACACACGGTGGGCAGCTTTGGCCTTGCTTACTGCAAGACCATCCTCATATGGACATGTGGCCTTCTACCCAGCACTTTGGCAACCCGGCCTTGGACGGATCTACTGTGCCTTCACTGCCAACCATCACTGGGCTTCGATTGCTGGCAACAGGCAAAGGACAAGCCATCAACCACGTGGCCGGCTTGATCAACAATCGGCCTGTCTGCCAGTTCCACCACTGGAGCTCTGGTGAGAAGTCCTCAACCCCTACAGGAAGTCTCCACAACTGGTATGTGCTGACAAGGAACGCCCAGTCGCCTCTGCTTTTTGCACAGCGGGTATTGGAGCATCTCTGCTTTTGGGATCAGGGCACTTTTGGCTTTGGCTCTCTGAGCTTGTTCGAGCTCACACGGCTCCTGGCTAGGGAAGAAGGCTTTGCATTTGCTAGGAAACAAAGCGATGATAGCTGGCAGCTCCTGCCGTTGGGATCGTTCTGAACTCGACCAACCCGGCGGCTTTGATCGGGGCTCTTCTTTGGCCTTGGTTGCTTTTTGCCCCCATCATGCGCGACCGTTCCTTGCATGGCATTTTCAGGTCAACTGATGGACTTGTGATCCGACTCTCAACTGCTGAAGTTCGCCGTTTTTCTGGGGACAGAGGCGTTCGCGAAGCGTCTGACCTGGACGCGGACCCTGGATGCCGTGCACTGCTGCTGCTGTGTGCATCCAACCGAAAGTTTGTCCGAGCTAAAAGTTTGCCCCCAACCTCAACCCCCAACCGCCCCAACCCGCCACGCCCTGCCAATCACCCAAACTTGCCGGGGGAAACGAAGGCGGAGCAAGTGACGGAGCCCTTCGTGGAGGCTTTGAAGCCCTGGCCTGGCGCCGGGGCGCCAAGCGAGGAAGGGGGGGGGGGTGGTTCAGAGGACCCAATGGGCGGCTCACTGTTTTTGGGGCCCCCTACTCAGAAGGAAAACCGTTGTCCCCGTTTTGGGGGGTCGCCCCGAAACAGATGAGCAAAGAAACGGTTTCACAATGTGGGGTGGCTCTGTTTGGACTTTTCTGGGTGCAACTCTGTTCTTGGAGTTGGGGTTGTGTTGAGGCAAACTACCTGCAGGGGTACCTTATATTGAGACGTGCCCTTCTGGCTGGGTCTTTTGGATTTGTTTGAAAGGAAAGCCCAGCATGTCTTCATGAAGGTGTGCTTTTTTATTGCCCCCTTTTCCTTTAGGAGTCATCCATAGCGTCTCCTAGTGTTCGCACTGCTGGCGCGGCCTCTTTTCCGTAGTCGTTAGGGAGAAACAAACTTAAGGAGCGTTTGTTCGGCTGAATCAGAGCCCTTGAAAGGATGGGGCGGCATCCCCGCGCATTGTACCCGCCGTTGTTCATGATTGAAACCAATGTATGGGGGAGGTCAAAACAAGAGACCACGAATTTGGTATTTGGCAAAGGTGGCATTACAACCATTGGTTGGAAACAGTTGGGGTGTCCGTAGAGAG